GGACCCCCATTTTGATTTTAAAATTTTCCGACTCCCAAGTCCCCCCGCTCAGCCCCATGATCCGTCCCCACTCCGCCCCTCCCCCAAGATCCCACCCCTGCCCCTCCTCTTCCCGCTCCCTCCCCCAAGTACGCCCCATCCCTGCACCTCCTGCACGCTGCTGAACGCTGGAGTTGATCAACAAGGCCGGCAGCCCCAGACATGATTCCACCCCTCCTCTGAGCGCACCCCATCCCTGCTCCTCCCCCTCTCTCCCAGCACCTCCTGCACACCGCTGAACAGCTGTTCTCTGGCATGCAGGAGGTGCTGGTAAGGAAGGGGAGGAGTTTATCAGTGGGGCCCACGGACACCCTGGGGTACTCCAGTTTGAGAACCGCTTAACTAGGATATGAGTGAACTGGTTTGGAATGCAGGAATAGGATCCCTCCCTCTATCAGATCCTTCCTACATCTCCCACAGTATCTTCCTGGCTGGCTGGGAGGAATTCTGATGATTAAGGAGTGTGCAATGCAGAGGTATAAATTCAGAAAAATTGTGATGTTCAGTGCCTCAAGATTTTGGTGCTCAATTTGAATCTCTTTTCAGAAAGTGCTGAGCACCTGCCCTCTGAAATCAGGCCCTTTTATGATGTCTCAAATTGGTCACTGAAAACTTGGAAGCACCCCAAATCACTAGACACTTCTGAAAATCTTGGCCAAGATTTCCACAGCACATCTAACACTAAGGCTCAGATCCTCAAAGGTACTTAGGCACCTAATTCCCATTGAAATAAGTGGAAGTTAGGTGCCTAAATATCTTTTGAGGATATAGGCCTCAATCTCTTACATCTCTGTATTACTATAAGGTTTTAGATTATACGATGGCACAACATCTATACACAATCAAAATGCTACATACAATATAGGCATCCAGAATGAAAGAAAAGTGATACCATAGCGCAACCATTCCATCATGATTAAGACATTTTAGTGGTTGTCGTCCTGGGTTTGTAATGCTTATTTTCGGGATAATTACAACATTATTTGAATTTTTTTACCCCATGTTACCTGATGTGCATTCTCATCTTTCACTTTAGTTTAATATAGGTTTTTGTCTGTGAATAGTAACTAGATCCCTACTCTTGGATCTCAACTCCCTAGCACAAGAAAGGCTGGAACTCCCCTAGATATCAAAGATATTTGGCCTTCTGAAATCACCTGCCAATACCTCAGTGCCTTCTAGAACATGCTACTTTTATAGTCCTTTCTGAACACAGCTAAGGAGCCCACCTATGCGACTGCAGCCATTTAGGTTAGTTCCAGACCTCTGTTGCTCTTATTACTGGCTTTGTTTTGGACAGTGTTTCTGTATCCCTTGATTGTTTTGCCCTGCACTCCTACAGTTCCTCAATATGCCAGAAAAACAACAAGGAGTCTGGTGGCACCTTAAAGACTAACAGATTTATTTGGGCATAAGCTTTCGTGGGTAAAAACCTCACTTCTTCGGATGCATAGAGTGAAAGTTACAGATGAAGGCATTATATACTGACACATGGAGA